GAACCATTTTTCTTGGCCACTTTATTTCTCATGTGTGTGAATTTGTCTGATTAAATTGTCACATTTGAGAAACCTTAACTTACATTTTCTTCTATGAAATATGAAGAATGAGCCAATTTCGAGGGTTGATTGCAGTCCTGCAGCGATCATTTGATTAACTGGCTAAATAACACCATTAAGGAAAACAATTACATGTTTTCTCTGCACCTCCTCGTGTGTGTTTGTAAAGCAATTAAAAAAGCACTTTGGCCTCTGCTCCATTTGCCAGAGCCTCCATTTAAATTAACCAGTACGTCCAATTAGGAGCATGCGCTTCCTTTCCTGTGAGCGTCTCTAATGGCTGGATAGATTGATTTAAATGCAAACTAGAGGGAATTTAATGAACTGCTTTTACAGGAAGACTTTAATAGGAATCTGCACATCCTCCAACAGGTTCACACTCCATTAATTAGGCATTGTAGTATTTTTTTCCTCAAACAGAGACAAATATTGCACGGGAAGCTGCAGATACTAAGACGTGTGCAGAGAAGCTTTCTGTTGTCATTTGATTCAGAAAGATATGCTGATGCTCTTCAATGTAATTAGTCTGAGAGGCAAAGTAGCAGCGTTTATACTGATCGTGCCGTCACAGACTCACGTCATCGACGGGCACAGGGTGCGTACTGTAACTCAGCACACAGTGGGACAGTCTGACGTCTGTCATTACCTGTTATTACTGTGATGGAGCAGATCTGTGGGCACCTGTGCAGTGACCACCCATCAATCTAAGATCATCTGTAGGAACGACGCTGCTTTGGCTTCAAACAGCGTGGAGTCTTGGTGTGACCGATGTTCTAGATGTTTCCAGATGTTTCCAGATGTGTTCGAATAAACAAATACCAGCTGATTGGTGCGTGTGTAAGCATTATGCCAGTGCTAACACAGCTGATATATTCATTAGTGGCTTTTCAACGTGGGCGTGGCCGGTGCTGTCATAGTGTCACCAGGAGCTGAGAGAGATGAGAACAGATGATGTGAAATCTAGGAAAGTGCACGTTGCCATGACAACAGTGAAATAAATTCATGTAGACAGTCCTGCATCTCCCCGCTAACTAACAACAATCTGTTGTGGGTTTGTTTGTCTGTTGTTGTTTTTTCAGTTCCATTCATAAACTTGAGTTCTTCCAAAACCAGTTCAGCCAGTACGTGTGATGGACGTGACTCTGTCTGTCAGAGCTGTGTCAGCTGTGTATGGCCTTGGTCAGGTGACTGATGCTGTGGGTCATTCTTACTTTGTGAAATCGTATCCAATCACTTTCTTGTTGAGTTGAAGTAACACACCTTCGTCTTGGCTGTTGAGACGTTTGTATTAACCAAGGACACAATTTTAACGTCATCCACTTACCGTATTTCCCGGACTACAGAGAGCACCTAAATATTAGCCGCACAAGCTAAAATCAGGGGGAAATCCTGTTTTGTACATACATTAGCCGCACCTGACCAAAAGCCGCAGGTGTTTCAATGTTGACTTATCATATGTAAGAGAATATGCACAAAGGGAATTGTCAGGGCTGTTTGGAGACATCACTTTTATTAATATTTTGAAAAACAAGTTATGGGTACATATTTGCACATGTAGTACATAACAGTAGCCTACAGCACACCAGAAAAATAGATTCGGACTACCTTTTAGGCTCAGGTGCAGTGACACAGCTTTAACAAGAAGAAAAGTCAGTCATTCACCATCTTTCTCTTCTTCCTGCGCACTAAAACCACCAAAGTCCTCTTCTCCAGTGTCGGATACAGAACAGGCTCAGGATGGCTTCGTCATCCACTCTCCCTTCTCTCCTTCGTTGTCACTTTCAAAACCAAAGAAATCCTCGTTGTCAGTGTCAGAGTCGAACACCCTCAGAAGGGCCGTGGCGGTGTCCTCCTCTCCATCATGCAGCAGTCCAGCCCTTCGAAATCCGTTGGTGATCGTGGATGTTTTCACACTTTTCCACGCTGTCAGAATCCACCGGTGGAGTTGGGCATAACTTGCTTTGGCTACTTGCAAGTTTATCGCCGCTCATCATCCACGACTCCCGCTGAACGCGTACCGCTACTTTGAAGTTTGTTTTTCGCGCTACTTCGTACGGCACTACGTTGCCTGGCGGACGGACATGTGACTAACATACCACTCTTGAACCCCGATCCTTCCGCCAGGCAACGTAGTGCCGTACAACAGCGGAACACACAAAACAAATCGTCTTACGATATGACAAAAATCACGGACAATCCATAGAAAAGCCGCACCTGACTAAAAGCCGCAGGGTTCAAAGCTTGTGCAAAAAGTAGCGGCTTATAGCCCGACATTACGGTAATTTGTTTTGTGATTTTTTTTTAATTTAATTCGGGTGTTGCTGAGCTGGCCAGCACGTTGCTTCTCTTTACTGTACCACACTGTTTATCTGACCTCTGTTGGCTTTACTTCCGCCTCTGTCAGTGCGCCCAGGGCAGCTGTGGCTACATGTAGCTGCCATCACCAGTGTGTGAATGTGTGGATGACTGAATGTAGTGTAAAGCGCTTTGGGGTCCATAGGGACAAAGTAAAGCGCTATACAAATACAGGCCTTTTGACCATTTTTACCATTTTTCTCAGCCTAATGAGGACCTGCTTCTCTCACAGCTGTGCTCATGCTGAGCGTGAACAGCTACTGAAGGAGTTCAACACTCACAGCTGCTTAGAATCCGTCAAGCAGGTGAAGGGAACAGGCCTCACTTGTCGTCGTGTAGTTCTTGTTCAGTCTCTGACGGTGGGGGACTTTGCATAAAAATGGCAGTAATTCCTAAACAGCTGTGGTGGTGTACAGAGGCACAGCTACAACACCGAGTCCGACCACACTGTGGGCAAACCGAACACTTCCATGGCCTCACTAAACTCCCACTCTCGAGTCTTTGCCTCGGCAGCCACAAGGCTGTAATCCAGCTGGCCCACCTGTATCTGTCAGCTGGGGTTCAGCCCCCACAGGCCTACACGCCAACTAAGCTCTTGGTGGAGGTGGGAGTTGGAGGTCGCTGTAAGAAACTGCCAGCACACTCTTATCAAACTCTTGGATCTACCAGGCCTGTGCAGCGTCTGTCCAGCTCACTATGAAGTGGGGTTCAGCTCCCCTTTTCACTGACGTGTCCGAGACGTCCGTAGATGACCGAGTCAGTCGTTACCCTGCAGCCCAGGACCGCAGCAGCCCAACAGCCTGGGCTCAATCCAAGAGCGCTCATGCCCAGGATGGAGGGATGTAACCTACAAACCTTTACATGTAAATACAGAACTTTACTATACGATGAAAAATAAGGTGCAGCTCTTCACACTGTCACTGTGTGTGTAGGTGTTTGGGTATATGTGGTCTCCATATAAAGGGATCTGTATCCAGATTACCGTCTACACACTTTTAAAATTGATTTATTTTGACGAGCATTCAGATCTGTCAATGATCCACCACACCAGATCAGGCTAATCAGAAAGCTATTGGCTATGCATTAGCCCGTGTCTCTAGACAATAAGTCATATTTGGAGAAGCAGAGAACAATAAAGTAATGATTTCTTGTTCAGCTCATGCTTTGCTTGGTTATTCTCTACATAGCTAACAGCTAATGGTTTTTGACAGGTTTTGTTTCACATGGTTCATATGAGACTTCCAGCTCAGCTTATCATCAGTTATCACTCCAACACATTTATTCTCGTTCACTCTTTCAGTTTCAGCTCAACCCTGATTTTAGCCACGTTACATTTGTCTGGTGCCAAAAATAATAGATTTTGTTTTATATTTAACAATAACTTATAGTTACCTCCTGTTCCACTGCAGTCAGAAGCTGTTCTAGGTTTTTATCTGATTGATGCACAGTGGTATCATCAGCAAACAATACACATTTATATATAACATGAATCGTTTAGGGCCCAGCACAGAGCCCTGAGGAACACCACAGGTTACCTTCAGCTGATTAGATTTGCACGTATTGATCCAGGTAACTTTTCATGCACGTGTATGCGATCCCTCTTATACCATATCTGTCTAGTTCATTCAGTAATATAATATGATCAATGTTAAAGTGTATAAAACACCAGCAGTATGTTCCGCTCTGCCGTATTATCACTTATTATGTTTCTCAATATATTTACCACGTCTATTAACAGATCATTTTCCTAAGATTTCTGAGAACTGTGGAGTTATTGATCTGTAGTTGGTTGTGGGTAACCCTAACCCTCTCTGTGGCTTTTTCCATTTTGGAGGGAAACGTACCAGGTTACACATGTATGTGAAAGTTTGCACTATTCTACAATACGTTTAACTAATATCACGTCAATACTGAAACAATCAGTGGCCTTTTTAATGTTGTCTTCAGAACATCAAGTATTCCTCTGTGACTCACAGCACCAATGAACTGAGTAATGTGTTTATTTAGCTCATTATTATTTCTTAACTCTTGAATTTCTTGTGCTACATTAAAGCCAACATGTCCAAAGAAATCATTCAGTTCATTTGCAGTGTCGTTAATTTTATGAAGCACAATCTTCATCTTTTCTAAGATATTCTGGAAGTCTTGTTTTTTTTGATTATACGATTTAATAACCTCCATGTTTGTTGTGATCCACTCCTGCTTTGCTCCAATAATGTGTGGTAGTACTTTTAATATTTACTAATCTATTTTGATATGACTTGTACTTAATAAATCTCTTACATAGATTATTTTTGTTCATCTGTCGCCTTTGTGATCCGTGGCCTATTTGAGCCGTCATGCTTTTCAGTGATTTCCACTAAAGGACGATGTTTGTCAAATACATTACAGACAAATGCACCATACGCACTATGAGGCTCTGCAGCAGTGGCTCGTGTCATGTTTGATTCTTTGTTTAGTTTTTCAGGTTTGCTGATGTTGCACTTCCTTTCGTTTTACTGGAGAAACATACATTTTATTATAGAACATGTTCTTGAAGGGGAGAAATGCATGATCATCTATAGAGGACCTTGTCCTGTTTTCAGATGTTGGTGACGACTCCGGAGAAGTGGGACGTTGTGACCAGGAAGAGTGTTGGCGATGTGGCTCTGTCACAGATTGTGCGGCTCCTCATCTTGGATGAAGTCCATCTATTGCATGAAGATCGAGGCCCGGTTCTTGAGAGTCTGGTGGCCCGGACCATCAGACAGGTTAGTGTTCCTCCTCGTCCCTCCTACACTGAGTTCACATACACAGTGAGGGGACAAAGTCTTTGCCCCGTCCTCATTTCATATCTCTCACTTAAATGTTTCAGATCATCAAACAAATTAAAATAGTCAAAGACAACACCATTAAACACAAAATGCAGTTTCTAAGTGAAGGTGTTTATTATCAAGGGGACAAAGTCCCAGACGTGATGGCCTGCTCTGTGGGAACTGTGGGATCTCTGAAAAGCTGAGCAGTTAGTCAGGGTGTGATTCTCTCTGAGAGTCGGGTCTTATTCGGAGCTTCTTCACTACCTCAGCGGTGTTTCCCATGTCAGGTCCTCCCTGATGTCTCGATGCACGCGCAATCATCCAGGTGAGGAAATCCTAAAATGTAGATTCTGTTCATTTGGATGTTTTCAGGGGTCTTTGTGGTGTTCAAGACCAAATTGTTGTTCCTACATCACGCTGTCAGCTGCTCCACCTCATCCCTGTAGGCGTGCTCATCCCTCCAGAAATGAGTCCCACCACCGTCTGCAAACTTAACAAAGGTGTTACTGTGGTGAGTGTGGAGCAGGGGGCTCCAGCCTGTGGGGGGCCAGTACTGAGTCTGGCCCCCCACAGTCGACTAGTCACGATTACGTCGACTATCAAAATCGTCGATGGCTGATTTAATAGTCGACGCGTCGTTTGAAGCTTTGTAAGATCGCAAAAGACGCAGGAATAAGTAGCAGGATTTAAGAGTGTAATAACGGACTGAAACAGAAGATGGCAGCACTGCATGTACAAGGATGCCAGCTGCCGTTAAACCCCGAAGAAGAAGAAGCAGCTGTGTCCCAGAATTCATAGCGCGGCCCAGCTTAGTTTCCAACAATGGCGGCAGCTAGTTAGTTTTAATATTACTCTTATTAATCTTTCTGGGTCACAAAATAAACGTTTAACATATGTTCAGGCGAGAATGTAGCTGTGTAAACCTCAAATATCGGCTCAGTTTATCAGGACACCACATATTTTCAAAAGCGCTCCGACGTTTTCGGAGACGCCTGTTACCCACTAGCTCGATAGCTAGCCGGGAGGTCAAGGGTCACTAGAGCCGTGAGAACACCGGACTCCCGGCAAATCGTTTTCAAACCCACCGCCGTCTTTCGCTACTCAGGTTAAACATGATATATGAGTCACTTAGATAACTTAAAAATGTTATTGTTTGGCTTTTTTTTAGTATTTTATTTGTTCCTGAGTAAATCGGTTTGTCTGAGATTAAAGTTATAGTTTTTACACAGCTGAATAAACGTCAAGCAGACAGCTGATTATCAGAAGTGTGAGATGCTCGAGAATTTACTCCGGTGTCCTGTTATATTTTAGATAGAAGGAGTTTATTAAACTTCAAACAATCTGCAAATTTCATTAAAATTGAATAAACTATCATCTTGTCTTTATTTTTAGTTAGCACAGACCTTAAACACTTAAAGCTGTAAGCTAATGATAGTTATATAAGAGCAGATGCTGCTGGTTGATCCAATTGATGCATGATCTGATTAGTCGACCAATCGCAAAAATAATCGGTGACTAGTCGACTATCAGAATAATCGATTGTGGCAGCCCTGGAGGATAATGGTAGGAGCAGCCGTGTGCAGCTTCAAGTGGGGTAGAGCAGCATGGACGCTGTGGCCACAGTGTTCTCTGTAGGCAAAGCACATCACCTCATGATCCCACTTGATAATTTACATTTTTCATTAAATATACAGTCTTTGAAAAACAAGTTCTGATGTTTGGTCTTTGTGTCCAGTGAGATGCAAACAGGTCCCAGTCATGTTTCAGACACATCCAGTCCCTCTGGCATGTTGTTGCTGTGATAAGCAATCATCAGTTCACTGTCTGAGCTGCTGATTCCCTGTAATGATGACTGACATGTGCAGGAAGCAACCTGGATATTTCCCATAGAGAGTGATTATCCAACTGTAGAAAGAGACAGAACTTAATTTCCAATAAGCCAGTGTGATGCAGTGCTGTCACATGTCAGTTCATGGAGGAATGTTAATAAGTCGAGAGGTCTATTTTTAGCCTGTCACTGACTCAACCTTGCATCTTATTCTGTGAACTGCATGTGAATCCAGAAAAATCTGCCAAAATACCAAATACATGTATGAATGTGTCGTCGGGCCCGAATGATCTCAGTGTGCACCCAGTTCATGAAAGCCTTTGGATCATGCATGACACACAGCAGCACATGTAGCCCGTGTAGCATAAATATACATCTCAGCACCGCCTTTGAGTTGTATACGTAAGAGAGTAATGAGAAGATGAAAAGAAGACGATGGATAAATCTGACGTGTGTGTAAATCACATTAGCAGTGAGCCAAAGGATGCTGTCCATATGCATGACTGCTTTGTTCAGTGGTGGTTATTTATAGCAGCTCTTAGAGTTAATAATTCACCTGCCTGGCCTGTAAACCATCATCAGCAGTAATATCTTATCATCGCCATGAATCTTCACAAAGCCAGTAAAGAAGGGTTTGCAGTTATATGCAAACTGTTTCTCTATAAAAGGTAGAGGAGGAATTCATTAGAACGAGGCGCAGGAACTCAGCATGCACCAATCAGAAGGTCAGTAGTTTGATTCCCAAAGTCCCAAAGCTGATCCCACAGTGTGAGTGCACTCCATGAAATCTGTGTGAAGCTGTGAATGTTGCTCTCAGCCAGTTAGAGCGCCACGTGGACCAGTTAGACCAGTTAGAGCGCCACGTGGACCAGTTAGACCAGTTAGAGCGCCACGT